TTGAGCACCGCAAGGGAAGTGTCCACGGTAATGCTGATGCCATGTCCCGCCGACCATGTAGCCTGGAATGTAAACACTGCTCAAAAGCTGAGGGAAAAGAGGACATTATAGACGTCCGTCTAACGACAATAACACCAGCGGAAGAGTGGAAGGAAGAACAGCTACGAAAGTGTCAGCAGGAAGATCCAGATCTGGAGCTTTTGATGCATGGACTGGAGGTGGACAGGAGGCCAACTAAGGAGCAAATGGCAGCGGAAAGCCCCATCGCAAAGGCGTACTGGGCACAATGGAACAGCTTAAAATTAATATCTGGCTGTTTGCATAGGGTATGGGAAAGCGAAGATGGCCAGTGCTCCCGCAACCTGATAGTAGTTCCAAGGGTAAGAATTCCGGATGTACTCAAGGAATTCCACAATGGTCCTAGTGGAGGGCACCTGGGAATCACGAAGACCCTGGAGAAGGTTAAGCAGAGGTTCTATTGGGTTGGTTGTCGGCAATCGGTCGCAGAGTGGATTGCTAACTGCGCGGAGTGTATTGCAGCTAAGGGGCCGAAATCCAGAAGTCATGGCCAGATGAAGCAATATAACTCAGGTGCACCTTTCGAGCGGATTGCCATGGATGTAGCCGGTCCATTTCCTATGAGCGCACAGGGAAACAAATACGTCCTTGTGGTTATGGACTACTTTAGCAAATGGCCGGAGGTATACCCGATTCCAAACCAGGAAGCTAAAACAGTAGCGGAGGTATTCACCTACAATTGGGTTGCGAGATACGGTGTACCTATAGAGCTGCACTCTGACCAGGGAAGAAATTTTGAGTCGGCAGTGTTCCAAGAGATGTGCCAGATACTGGGTATCCGGAAAACTCGAACGACGGCTCTTCATCCCCAATCAGACGGCATGGTGGAACGGTTCAACCGAACCCTGGAAGAGCATTTGCGGAAGGTCGTGGACAAGAATCAAAAAGATTGGGATGTCCGCATACCCTTGTTCCTGATGGGATACCGGTCAGCAGTGCATGAAACAACGGGTAAAACTCCTGCAAGGGTAATATTCGGCAGTGAGCTCCGTTTGCCTAGTGATCTGAAGTTTGGGGTGACTGGTGATGCTAGAAGGATTGGAAAAGAGACGTCAAACATCCTGGAAGAGGAGCTGAGAGAGATACATGCTCTTGTGAGACAGCGCACACAAATTATGAGTGACAAGATGAAAGCCAGGTATGATAAGGCGATGAATTCCGAGGGTTTCCAGGAAGGAGATTTGGTGTTGCTGTACAATCCACAACGAAAGAAAGGTTTGTCCCCAAAACTACAATGCAACTGGAAAGGTCCGTATA